GAGCGTTGCAGGTTGGATTTTTAGATGGTGCAGTCTTGCAGGGCAGGCATGCCGCGTCTCACCAATAAGCTTGTTAGCAGCCACGCCCATAAATGTAGCACAGCTCCGGTCCAGCAGTTTCTTGCTAAGAGTTTGATTACGTCATATAACGCATTTTTGACGTGTCATAGAAAAGTGATGGCTGATATGCAATGCAGGTTTCATTGTTACTGAAATGTTATTGACTTCGTTTATCTCGTTTACGTGATGACATTTTCTTACCGCTAACGTAGCGCTCAGACCTGAAAAGATATGAAACGTTTCACGCACTGCATTGCACTTGAGCGCTCCAAAGTTAGAGGAGCGAATGCAGCCGCAGACTCAGATGCGGCGCCGATCGATATACGCTTGCGGACGCTCGACCGAAGGGCGCCAGCCGCTGGTGTCTCGAGAGAGTATGGGGGAATAGGATGCCTAGTCACGCAGACTAGCAATCGGCACTCGATGTCTGTGGCTGCATTCGCGTCTACAGCTTTGAAGCGCTGTTGCAGTTGTAGCGCGTTACAGCGCGTCATCGCGAAGTCTGAACGTTGCTTACCTGGTAACGGAGCTGAACTACAGGGGGGGGGGGCAAAAAAAGTCACTTCGACCGAGTCACATATCAGCAAAGTTTTCGCTGCCCAGACAGAGGACGTGGATACGAGTACCAGGGCGGAAGATACCCAAGATGTTCCTCTATAAGCAGGAGCTGGCTCTCGCCCATCACCTTCATGTACACCAAAATATGAAGTCCAGTCGCAGCCTGACTGGAGAAGACCTTTGGAATTCATGTCACCTCCAAACAGCTGCGAAACTTCTAGTATGGAGTCACCCATGGATAGCTACCTGGAGACCAGTACTCTCGATCTGGATGACCTCCAACATCGAGCAGCTCCGACAACGTCGCCACGGTCTAGGACATCATCTTCACCACAGTCGCCAAGGCGCGGGTTGATGGTATGGACCGGACGTACCAAAGACCAATATTTTCTTCGTGGACCCCGGACTGAAGGTGAGCGCTGGCGGTTACATCGAGCAACTCGTGAAGAATATCCTCCTCACATGTCGTCGCCCGTACCTTCTTGGAAACTTTGTACTGCTACAGCATTGGGTGCCACCACATGGAATCGAAGGGCATTGGAGAAACTCTCGCCTACTTGGAATGGAAGGGGGCTGAGTACCTAAAGAAGGTGGAATATCCAAGTAGGTCACCTGACCTGAGAGTGTCAACCTGGGCAGAGATCCCTCAATTACCGGTTTATGGGGGAGTTCAATAGGGTGGTCTAACGGTGGGAGGAGAATCGACATCTTCGCTGATGCTGACAAGGGAAGGATGGTAGGCTCGAGTGGTGTTTGAACATGAAATGTATACCGGCTGAAAGGTCTTCGGACGGGAATTACGAAACCGTGTTCCATATCTGCTGCGGACCTCCCAGAAAGAAGTTACGGAGCTTTTTTGGGGGAATCACTACAAATTGGCGGCGTAAGGCTATCGAGATCGTGGCAGCATGGCCGAGTGGATACGTCGTAGGGCTCACGGATGCGTGGTCGAGGGTTTGGATCCTTGATGCGTGTGCTCTTTTGCATTTTTCGAAAGTGGTCCTCTGCACTTCAAAGCTATTTTGCATAACACTTGTCCATGATAATGTCGTGATGTAATGATTCTGAACTGATGGAGCCATTGCGAACGATTTCATGGAGATCACCTCCGGCTGAAAAGATTGTCATACGAGCCGAAAACTTCCAGCAGATACGAAAACTCTTTGAGATAGACATAATTCAACATTATGCCACTGGTGAATGAAGCTCTTGCCCATGCGATCTCCAGCATGATTGCCATCAACGCCACTTCATATGGAAGCATTTTCCCCACTATAATCATCTTCCTGCACAACTTCGGATTCGTTTTCCGGTCATGTCGTTTGGAGAATAAATTCATTTGAAGGCAAAATCTTTCTTTGGAGTGCACTTTTGTTGTATATGCTCTTCAAATCAAAGAAAGAGGAAGACAACAGCCAGAAGTGATTTCTATTGAATGGTTCGCAATGGCTCCATCAGTTCAGAATCATTACATCACGACGTTATCATGGACAAGTGTTATGCAAAATGGCTTTTGAAAGTGCACAGGGGCCACTTTCGAAAAAAATGCAAAAGAGCACACGCATCAAGGATCCAAACCCTCGACCACGCATCCGTGAGCCCTACGACGTATCCACTCGGCCATGCTGCCACGATCTCGACAGCCTTACGCCGCCAATTTGTAGTGATTCTCCCCCAAAAAAGCTCCGTAACTTCTTTCTGGGAGGTCCGCAGCAGATATGGAACACGGTTTCGTAATTCCCGTCCGAAGACCTTTCAGCCGGTATACATTTCATTTCAAATGGCCACTTCGACCTACCATCCTTCCCTTGTCAGGCACCACATCGCGGTCGCGTGCCAGAATCTCTCGATGGCGCTCGTCCAGAAGGCGCTGTGGCGGAGTGTCATGATAGTATTTGATATGCTCTTTAATATGGTTGATAACATGATAGTATTTGATATGCTCTTTAATATGGTGGTAAAAATGTCCGATCAGAAGTTATAAAGTGTAACTTATAGCGCCTCGAAATGTCAATGAAGAAAAGTGAATTTTTTTGGCCTCCCCCTGTACACCTGCTGCGACGGCGGCTGAATTGAGTTGAAAATTGAATTCAACTAACTGCACGCAACCTTTCCGTATCGATGTCGCTCCTTTAGAATGTGGTAGTAAGTTGTCCCTCCGCTATCCGTAATCTAAAACTAACATTTTTTTGAGGGGGGAACATTAGCCACTGACTCCGTATCCCTTCCTCTAATTAAGCCTAGCCCCCCCCCTAGCCTTCCCAAACTGCGATGGCGCCCGCAACTCACAGCAATTTTCGGTATAGCCGCTATCTGGTAGACCTTATCAAAAAGTGTCAAATAGTTGCTATAAGCTGCGGACGTGAGATAATTTTAATAGATCTCCTAAAGGCAGAACTCATGATTGATAGTCCAGCTCTTTTACAGTATCTTGATGACGACGATGATGTAGAATTTGATGCACATTTACATAACACCGTGGCTCGAACAACTGCAGGTGGTATTGAACTCTTAATGATTTACTTAGAAGCGGAGATACGTCGAGTAGTGAGTTTTTTGATTGCTTTTTTTGTTTCCAGCTTCCCTTTTATTATAATTATTTTTCAGCGATTATTCCTCCGCAACTGCGGTCAACGGATTCGTCGTTTCTGCATTGAGTCAATGCACGTGGATTTCCGAAGAATTGCCGAATTATTCGCAGCACTTTCAGAATCGTTAGTGTGTGGTCCTTTCGTTTTTCTTCGGTCATACTCAGTGGCTCTGTGATTTTAGGAGGTTCAAACGTGTTCCGATGGATGAGACAGTACTGAATAATGATGAAGCTATGATACTCAACGAGGTAAGATCGCTTTCTCTTTTTCTCTACGAGACAGCTTTCGGAGTTCGTGATTCATGCTGTTTGCGGAATCCACCCTTAGGATTATAATGCTCTTCGCTGGAGATGCTGAGGCGTGTCACGGACTGGGTATAGCGCGGCGCCGCCTGTTTTCCAGCAAGTTGTTGTCGTTTGTCCTTTCAGGAGTCTGGGCTGGTGCCGCGCCAAACCTATCCCATTCCCTTTGCTGACGCGCTCCAGCGTTTACAGCGAAAACGGTTGTGTATGTTTATCGATCACGCAGTTGTTAAGCTGAGCGTTTAGTTGTTAAGATGAGCGATCCACTTCGAAGACACTTGGTTTAACTGCGGTGGATAAAGCCAAGCAATGATGTGATAGGCGCGTTCCATCTTTCGCGCCTTCTGCCATAGATAGACGGAAGAGGAGAGGCACACCAATGATGCCTTTTCCCCACTCTGTCCATCTGCCAATTCGGACGACGACCTTAACTGATTCTATGGTTGGCGCTGTAGTGCACCCGTCGTTGTTCGTTTCG